TGGCGGCCCAGCAGCCCGCCGCCTTCTGGGGGCCGCTGGCGCAGGACACGCTGGTGTGGGACACCCCCTACCATACCGTCTGGGACTGTGACTTACGCAGCGGCAAGATCGGCTGGTTCCTGGGAGGCCAGCTAAACGTGTCTGGTGAGTGGGCTGCGGGGGCCCTGGGCGTTCCCAGCTCATCGGTCCAGAGGCCACTCTCAGAACCCAGTCAGGGACAGGTCGCTGGCGGGTGTGCTGTCACCTCCGGACTCAGAGGCCCCAGCCTCCCGGGCCGCTGCACCCCCGCGTCCTGACCCCGCTTACCCCGCTCCAACCCGCACCCGGAGAGATCCGGTTGGGTGTCAGCCAGGGTCGCCCAGCTGCTGGCCTTACCCCAGCTGCCTCCTCCAATGGCTGGCTCTCAAGTTTAACCACGGGGAGCGACGGACGGACGACACCTGGGACACGCTGGGGTGGTGGGTGCCCGGGGCCCAGGAGTCGGGAAGTCCCCATTCCTGTCCCAAAAAACATCATGCTGCTGTTACTACCAACTGCCTGCCCAGCGACTGGCCTGGAGAGAAATGTTGCCCTTGTAAACAAACCGAGCTGTGGAGTGTAGCCGGAGGAGAAAACCCAAGGCTGGCTGCTGGAATCACCGATCTCCTCGTTCCCCGGCAGCGCTTGTGGAAGGGGAGAGAAGAAGGCGGGGTCTCCTACCTCAGTTTCACCCCCCCCAAAAAGACCCACCGCTTGCTTTAGACCTGGTTCCGCACGAGGTTCCAGAAACCAGCACCACCAGCCACTCAGTCCTTTGGTATATGCTGAGGCTGAGTCTCCTACGGTTTCAGTTTGCTTAAGATATGTGATTTGTTTGGTGGGATGAGTGCACTGTGCCCTGAGGCAGCAGGAACTGGAGGCAGTGGCCATCCAGACAGGGTAGGCTGGGGCGTGGGTAGCCTGGGGAGGAGGGGACTCACAGCCAGGTGGGGTGCCTGTGGGGGCTGCATGGCTAGGGAGGAAGGGGTGCCCAGTTAGGTGGAAGTGGGGTCTGGGGGATGTTTCAGGGGAGGTCCAGCAAATCTTAATGGCAGCGTCAGGCCTTGGCCAAGACCTGAAATTTGAGGTACGGATATGGTGTCTTGCACAACTCCACCATTTACTCTAAGTAGCAATTTTAATTTACTATATTTAGAAGTAGCGGTGCAATTATAGGTAGTGTCTTGCAGTTATTTTTCAAACAAAGAAACTTAGGGAAGAACTTTGGAGCAGTTTGTTCTTTTTTCATATTGTATACTACTTTGATGGTTTAATCAAAATAAATCACTTACTAGATCAGTGTTTTCTTTAAAATTGAGTCAGCAGCAAGTGAGCTTGAACTAGTGGGTATAAAAAGGTAAAACAAACCCTTAGGTTTGCAGAGTTGGTGGCATGTGCCCTTGAAGGGAGGAGAGCAACTTACAGAAGGAGAGAGCAGAAAATGTAACGTGCAGCTCCTGTGCAAGCTGACTGCGACCGTAGAGGCCTGAGGCCACTGGGGATGGTTAGAGTTGGCTCGTGCACACTTGTGGCCTCTCACTCCCAGACAAGTCACTGGGGATGAACCTCATGGGGCGGGCAGGCAGGGCCTCTTGAGGCTCACTCGGTCAAGTTCAACATGTGGTTGCTAGCAGAACTGCCTTTTTTCCCTTCACTTATTTTGCCAGAAATTGAGCTTCAGAAACTGCCTTGTGGAAAAACAGTTTTTCAGCAGCATTCTCACCTTGAATGTGTATGTCTACCCTCTCATCTCTCAGGAATATCCCTGCGCTTTGCTAGTATCTGTAAATCACAGAGGTGATGGTGTGAGAAAAGACCATAGCTGCCCTGGGAACACCCTAGAAAGTTGTGGAATGGTGGGCAAATTTTGGACTGATCTGTCTGTGTGATAGTGTGATGATGGCCTCTTCCAAAGGAGTATCACTTTGGAAACTCCCATTACTCCTTTAGGAAAATCTGTACCAGTAGTTTTCTAACTGTGGTCCCCAGACCAGCAGCATCAGAATCACCTGGGAGTTTTATTAGAAATGAAAGTTTTCAAGTCCCATCCTAGACCCCAGGATCAGAAACCCTGAGGGTGGGTGGGGCTCTGCCTTCTGTGTTTACAAGCTCTCCAGGTGCTCCTGAGGAATCACAAGGCTGAGAACCACAGACATATATGGCCCAAACTAGGGCAGACAAAGAAACTTCTAAATGGGCAGAACTGAGATCAGTGTCCTGGAGATGACTCTTGTAAACAAACAGAAATGGCAGATGGGTGGTGCAGTACAGCTTAGTGGTTCTGGGTATATTTTGAGAATTCCACCTGGGTCTAAATCCTTGCTTTTCCCTTACTGTTCTTTACATGGCTTTCCTTGTCTGTGCAATAAGGACAGTATGAATTCTGTTCTACTTGCTATAGTTGCATATCAAACCACTCCCAAGAGTTGTAGTACTCACAATTCTGTGGGTCAAGATGTTGGACATGACCCCATGGGCATGACTTGCTTCTGCTCCCCCTTGATCTGTGTCTGGGGTTGTTGTCACAAGTCTGGGGTGTTCACTGGGACAGCTCAGGCTGGCTCAGCTGGAACTGTGTCCCAAACCACCTACACAGGGTCCAGGGAACGTGGACCAGAGGTCACAGACACTATAGCAGAAGCTGCTAGGTTTCTTCTGACTGGAAGTGGATGGCCTGAGGATACCTAGAGCTGTTGTTAGCATTAAATGAGAAAACACTTATAAAGCTCTCTGCACAGTCGTTAGCATGTTACTTACATCCAATAACTGGCCTTTGTTATTGATTAAGGATCCTGTAGGAGTAGGGAGGTGGGGGTGGGTAGGAGGCTGTGACTTTGAGCCTGACCATCAGCAGTGCTGCTGAGTACAGTGTTTTCTCTGAACAGGACCACATGGGCTTGTGTCTGACCAGTCTGAGATAGGCAGGAAACGGGTCAGGAAGCTATGCAGGAGATCAACAAGGCTCAAAGTCCATCCTGGAACTCTGGGTTAGTAGCCAGGTCACCAGGTGAGTCATTGGTATCAGAAGGCCCCTTGGGCAGGGGAGGCAGAGTCACCACCCCTTTCAGTGTCTTGCTTCTTTTACATAAAACTGCTTTACAGAGGTTCTTTGGGAAGGAAAGATCTAAAAAAGATTCTTTCCGGTTTTTGAAATTTGGCTCTGTCCTTGGTATGGCTCAACAGATGTGGTGTATAAACTCAAAATGGCAGGAAGTTGCAATGCAGAACTGGAGGGGGGAGGTGGTAATGACGTGTTGCTTTCAAAACACACAACTATACTCTATTTTCTAAATACCAAATTCTGAGTCTGATTTTTTAAAAAAGTGTGTATTCATACTTTCAAGCAAGGGTATAGAGAAACACTTTTAACCAAGCATTGAACACAGATTTTTGGATGCTTTTTGGGACATTAGTTGCAGCAATGGGAACCATTTTGCTGTACCTTTCTCTTCTTTCTGCATGCCTCCAATAATTTTGAAAGCAGATATACTGACAATGGCAAGACAGTACAGTCCTGTGCTTCACTTATTTCTCAGCAGTTGAAGTAACTTTCAAGGAACTCTAAATGAAAATGTAATTCCAGGTCTTGGGAGGAAGGAAGAGACTGAATTCTCTGTAGTTATCAGAGGCCTGACTTACTTTAAAGAGCAGATGCGTCTGGAAAGTTGGCTAATGGAATTTTTGTGACTGATGTAATATCTTAAATTGTGCCAGGGAAATTTTCTATTTAAGGAAAACCCATTGTGAATTCTTTTATGAATATTAACTCCCTTGTTTCTTTTGATTAAAATAGAATTTGTGTGTGGGTTTACTTAAAGTTGGGGAGGGGAAGGATGTATTTAAACAAGTAACAGGAGTTCTTGAAAATTCCTACATAAGTAGTGTGCCATCTTTATAATGGAAATGATAACCTCTCATAGTCTTTTTTTTTTTTAAAAAAAAAAACAANTGCCATCTTTATAATGGAAATGATAACCTCTCATAGTCTTTTTTTTTTTTTAAAAAACAACACCACCACCACCACCCAAACCTATGAACCATCATCAGGCATTTGCTTAACTATTTGCAGAGTTGTGCCAGGCTCTGTGTTAGACCTGCCTTGAGGTGAACATGATGGAGCCTCTTCGCATCTCATTGCTATGACACCAGTGTGAAGTGGTTGGTGGTCCCATTGTACAGATGTGGAAATAAAGGCTCCAGCTCACATATAGGGATGAACAGTGCAGAAAATGCCCCAATGCCACAGAGTCTGCATTCTAATGAAGAGATGCATCACAAACCAGTAAATGAGCAAATCCACTCTAGGGTAACTTTCTCAAGGCATTTACAGTTGCTAAGGGAAGAATTATGATGTCAGCCCCCAACCCACCCCCATGATATGTGAATCTTAGGGACCTTGTGAATTAGACTGAGGAGAGTTTAGCAGAGCCAGAATTGTGTTCCAGAATGGGCAGAATAACTAAGTGTTAAATGGTGTTGGCTACTGAGTGATGAAGAGAGAAAGAACACTGTGCTGGGAAATTTTGAAAAGGCTTGAGCTAGGAGGTGGGGTTTGAGCTGAGCCTTAAATTGCGTTAGGATCTTGCCCAACTCTTCTTGTAAATGCTTGTAAATGGAGTTTTCTTGGCCCATTGCTCAGTTCTGTGGGTGGAGACTTTTTTTAAATGTGGAGAAGAATTTCTTCCCTTTATCCTTGCTCTCCCTTCCTTCTTTCCTTTTCTCTCTGCATTTGAAGTAATAGCAAGAACCATATGTGTTAAATGCCAACATATACATTGTGGTTTAGGGCCACCGTCACTCAGATCCCGCATTGTGCTTTCTCTGGGTGCCCATGGCATATGAGAGGAAACCATGGCAGCTGTGAAACTGCATTTCCCTTGGGAATACTGCCACACAATCTGATCCTGTGACAGGAAACTCTCCAATGGCATCTAATTCCTACTGCCACTCCCAGAGTTAAGAATTGTTATCCCCATTTTGGATTAGGAAAGTGAGATTTAGATTAAATAAAAGGTGTGTCCTCTCAGTTCAATGAGTGTTTGGACAGGGGATGGACTATGGAGGGTGGGTTTGACTCCTGATGTAGGCTGCCATTCAGTGAGGGCATGGCCAGATGCCTTACAGAG